CAAGGTCCACTGTCTGTTTTCCGAAATTTTCCCCTTGTTTCCTTGTAATGGAATTAAATTAATTTTGCATAATTTGTACACGGTCATGCAGATGATGGACTATGGTACAGTGGAATTATTTGAGTACAAATATATTCTAAAGCTATTCAACAAGCAAAGTACCATTTTGTACCTTAAATTTCGGAATAAATAAAACCAAAATCTCTTTTAAGCAAACACAATATCTATGAGACAATAATACTATCAGAAAAAGAAAATGTTACAGTTTGGCTTGTGATTTGATTCTCTACTAATTTGATTTAATTCTCTACTTTCTGCTACTAATTTCTAGATTTCCGATGAGTTGTAAAAAGCTGACCCACAATTGGACTTCTCGAGTCCATAACTTTACCAAATTAAATCCGATCCCAAAGTGGCATACCTCTAAAGACTTGTGATTTGATTCTCTAAAAATCTGCATTTAAAATTTTCATTTCAGCGTTGGTCAAATTTTTGACCCGTTTTCATGTTACTTATTTCTAAGTTTCCGATAAGTTGTAAAAAGCTGACCCACAATTGGACTTCTCGAGTCCATAACTTTACCAAATTAAATCCGATCCCAAAGTAGCATACCTCTAAAGACTTGTGATTTGATTCTCCAAAAATCTGCATTCAAAATTTTCATTTTAGCGTTGGTCAAATTTTTGACCCTTTTTCATGTTACTTATTTCTAAGTTTCGGATAAGTTGTAAAAAGGTAACCCACAATTGGACTTCTCGAGTCCATAACTTTACCAAATTAAATCCGATCTCGAAGTGGCATACCTCTAAAGACTTGTGATTTGATTCTCTAAAAATCTGCATTCAAAATTTTCATTTTAGCGTTGCACATTGGGCCAGCGAGCCGATTTTTCGACGAAAATTCAAATTTTTCATAGCAAGTAAACATATTTTAATAATAAAATTTGAATAGTATATACTTTGACTAAAATTAATCAAAATATTTTAATTGTTTTAATGCATCCCTGAAATTTTGGCAGCCCTTCAAAGTCAGTTGTCTGATTGCATGCGCGCAAAACTAAAAAGCGCGGGAAAGATTTTGTTTACTTGCGAGCGTGCCAATATTGTTGTGGTTTAAGCAATTTTCACTAAAATTATGGAAACGAAAGACAAAGGTATATAGAATATTTGTATTAAAGAAAATTTTGTTCATGTTTGATAATGTGTTCTTTGTGTGCGTTTATTGGTGTTGTCCAAGAGTAGAAAAAAGCTAACCTGCTAACCCGTCTGTTGTGGATTATAACAAATTTTGTGCCAACTTGTGCCAAAAAGTAACTATATGTCATTAAAGTGCAAAGTGTATATAAACTAATTTTATTAAGCTTTTTTGCTCCATTTTGCACCGATATGTATAAATCCCACATATTGTAGCTGTTGTTGAGTTCGCCTATGAGCAACTGCTTGATATCTACATACAAAACAATCGTAGCTCATCTGTCGTTTCGAGTTGGATTTATGATGAACTGAAAGAATTCGACTTAAGCACAGAGAAAAAGGATGAAATCAACACCAAAGTGAGAAGCTTTCACCTTTACATACATAAGAACTTGGCAAAATGTAACAGAAGCATGACCAGATTTAAGACAAAGCATACCGAATGGCTTCTGTCCAATATGGCTATAACAGTAAGTTCATTCTTGTCTTCAAATCCAAAACCGTCAACATCAAGACCAGTTGGACGCCCACCCATTGGATATGTTAACGCCGGTCCCCGTCAGAAGAGAAAATTGGCATCCGATTTAGCTGTTAATCAGGGTCACAACACATCTCTTCTTGTGCATGCCGCCGCAGTTTCGGCCGAAAGAACGAACGAGAAACATACATTCCTTGTATTAAAAAATACATTTCTTACTCCGAGTGACCCCAATAAGGCTAGAAACCATTCTTTTACTCAGAAAAATGACTCGGTTCAACTAACGGAGGATGAAGCTTTAGCATATCTGCTTGAAAATTCATTGACTAAAAGTCAGTACAACAACTTTCGCGAGCTCAGCATTTCCAGATCTTGTCAACTTTTTCCTGCTTACAACAAAGTCAGAGAAGCTAAGTCAAAATGTAGACCTTTTCATATTAATGTAACCGAGTCAGTTGCTGAAGTTCCACTGCAAAGTCTTCTAGACCACACTAGTTGCCGTATAATTCAAATGCAAGAAGATATTTTTAACCAGCTTGGCAATACTTTAAGTCTGACCCTTATTGCAAGCTATGGATTTGACGGAACAACCGGACAAAGCAGCTATAAGCAACACTTTTTGGATGTGATTCTTTGCTTTCTGACGACTCGCTTTTTGCGACAACAATAATCCCCCTAAAATTAATGGACCATATGGGAAATGTATTTTGGATGAATCGTACTCCTCAGTCGATTAGATTTTGTAGACCAGTCAAGCTTGAGTTTGTTAAAGAGACAAAAGACCATATTCTGAATGAGAAAAAAAATTTGGATAGTCAAATAAAAAATTTGTCTTCATATGTCTGCTCCGTTGTAAATGGAAAATCAATTTCAGTTAAATATGATCTTCAAATGACACTTTTAGATGGAAAGGTGTTAAACATTTTGACTGAAACCAAATCTTGCCAACTGTGTCCGATATGTGGAGCGAGTCCAAAAGTCTTCATGGAAAATGCAAAAATAGACTCACCAAAATTTAAGCCAAGATATGAAGCATTAAAATATGGCATAAGTCCTCTACATGGTTGGATTCGATTTTTCGAATTCGTTCTTAAAATTGCATATAGACTGAAACTTAAAAAATGGCAAGTGAGAGATGAAAATGGAAAAAAAGAAATGGCGAAAAAAAAAAAGACGATTCAGATGCAGATGTGGAATGCTATGGCTTTACATGTGGATAAGCCTAAGCAGAATGGCAATGGAAATACCAACGACGGCAATACAGCAAGGAGGGCGTTTGCACAACCTAAGCTACTAGCTGAAATCTTAGGTCTTGATGAAATTCTCATTGCATATTTTAACAATATTTTAATTGCTATTTCTTGCCACCTACCAATTGATCCAACAAAATTTAAAAAATATTGTCAGAAAACCATATCACTATATATGGCCTTGTATCCATGGTTTCCAATGTCAGCATAATAGAAGCATCAATCCTTCCATTAGGTGTTCTCGGCGAGAACGCCTCAGAGGCTCGCAACAAATACTATAAGAGTGACAGAAGGTTACATGCTCGAAAGAGTACACGGCAGAACAACATGGCAGACGTTTTCCACAGAGCAATGGATTCCTCAGATCCTCTTGTGTCAAGCATTTATTTAACAAAAGATTGGGTCACCAAAATAAACTACCCCTACCAGCAGACGTAATCGAACTTTTGGAATCACCAAACTTGCTATATTCTTGTAACATGAACAATAATAACAATGTTCCCGATTTTGATGCTAGCAATAATGATAGTGATTCAAATTCTGACTCTGAAAATCCGTTTTCAATAGAAATTGATGTAGAAGACGACTGTAATTTTTAAATGTAAAATACCCATTGATAGTCACTTTGAATGCATTTTTATTTTTTACTTATTAATATTAAGGTTAAGTGTTGAAAAAATGAATTAAAAACATTTGTTGAATTTAACGAGTGCTATAGCATTATTTATTACCGTACAAGTATCAATAAGAGGAAACCTATCTCATATGGGCGGCTAGGGAAGGCGTGGTCAGATGAGTCTGAAACTTAGATATATTTTTATGTGCATCGACACTATCATATGTACCAAATTTGAAGAAGCTAGCTTTAATACTTTAATTTTCGTCGAAAAATCGGGTCGCTGGCCCAATGTGCGTTGGTCAAATTTTTAACCCATTTTCATGTTACTTATTTCTAAGTTTCCGATGAGTTGTAATAAGGTGACCCACAATTGGAATTCTCGAGTCCATAAATTTACCAAATTAAATCCGATCCCAAAGTAGCATACCTCTAAAGACTTGTGATTTGATTCTCCAAAAATCTGCATTCAAAATTTTCATTTTAGCGTTGGTCAAATTTTTGACCCATTTTCATGTTACTTATTTCTAAGTTTCGGATAAGTTGTAAAAAGGTAACCCACAATTGGACTTCTGGAGTCCATAACTTTACCAAATTAAATCCGATCTCAAAGTGACATACCTCTAAAGACTCGTGATTTGATTCTCTAAAAATCTGCATTCAAAATTTTCATTTTAGCGTTGGTCAAATTTTTAACCCATTTTCGTGTTACTTATTTCTAAGTTTCGGATAAGTTGTAAAAAGATGACCCACAGTTGGACTTCTCGAGTCCATAACTTTACCAAATTAAATCCGATCTCAAAGTGGCATACCTCTAAAGACTCGTGATTTGATTCTCTAAAAATCTTCATTCAAAATTTTCATTTTAGCGTTGGTAAAATTTTTGAACCATTTTCATGTTACTTATTTCTAAGTTTCGGATAAGTTGTAAAAAGGTAACCCACAATTGGACTTCTGGAGTCCATAACTTTACCAAATTAAATCCGATCTTAAAGTGGCATACCTCTAAAGACTTGTGATTTGATTCTCTAAAAATCTGCATTCAAAATTTTCATTTTAGCGGTGATCAACTTTTTGACCCATTTATATGTTACTTAAGTTTCCGTTCGGCTGTAAAAAGGTGACCTACGTTTGGACTTGTAGAGTTTGTTTGCATTCTTGTGTTTTACAAAGAAAATAAAATGTTTCCTTGCCCAACCTTATGTATATTTGCATAGGATTTTAAAGTTATTCGTTAGACTTAGCCCACTGTGCAACACTTTTTACTTTCCTTTATTGAGGCGAAACAAAAAGGAAAACTTGTCACAACGCCCACACATCGACGGCCTTGACTGTCCATCTATTTTGCGACGATATGGGGGCGATATGGATGTATATTTATTCACTGCCCTATGCCCACGTATCTGCATCTGCCAGTTCATATCTAAAATATTTATTACAGCACTTCAATTTGTCTTTTTCAGGGCGATATAACTCACGGATATGCAAATGCCGAGGTGGGCGTGGCCGTGGGCGTGCCGAAACAAATAATAGAAAGACAGCCAATTAAAAAGCCCCTACATAATCGAACAAGATATTGGAGGCATACAAATATATAAATATATATTTAATATATATATAAACGAATAGAAATATCTGCCAAGATGGCTGACCGTCGGTCGGTGGCTCTTCTGTTAGCCATGTTAATTAGCAGTTGGCCAAAAGCCTCCTTGGCAGCCACAGGAAATGCTAGTATTATGACCGCCAGCAACAGCAGTGGCAACAATTACGCATTCACCTCGGAACACTCTGACCACAACGCCAACGACTCCATGGAATACGATGCGGAGAGTGTGGCCCTCGAACGCATCGTTTCCACGATAGTTCCGGTCTTTTTCGGCATTATCGGCTTTGCCGGACTCCTGGGCAATGGACTAGTCATACTGGGTAAGTTTACCTCTAGGAAAAGTCTTAAAACTAAATAATAATTTCACCTCAAAAATACCTCTTAAAAGGGTACACAACGATATATAAACTATAACAATAAATGCCTTTTGACAATGTCCTATTTATTACAGCCTCTATAGATTTATGTGTTAATACCGATTTACAAACATATTTCCAAAAAAAAACACTTAAAAAAAAGTGTGAGGTCAAACCACTATTTTTAATAATATTGTACTTAGTCAGTAGAAGGCATATTCTAAACATCTTCTTTCTGAGAGTTACTTTGGAATAAAGCAAAAAATATAAATTGACCAAAAATAAAGTGTGTCAACGAATTCTACGTATTTTTACATATGTTAGAACGATTTTCTCCACAGTGTAGGCCCCCTTCTCGCCATAAAAACTCGGATTCGCATCCAGCGAAACGCTTTCATTAGCGACCTCTGGCAAATTATGCGTAATAATTGCAAATGAAGCTGCAAAGGACGAGGAGCCATAAGGATGAGGTGCTGGAGAGCCATAAAAACATAAAAACGCCTGCAAGTGCTGCGCATTCAGGCGGAAGCTAATTGATTTTTTATATCCCATTAAGGGACGGGGCAAATGGCGAGAGGTGTGAGGCTGGGATCGTTAAGATTGCAATTTGCAAGTATTGCAGAAATTTAATAGACGAGCAAAAGCAGAAAATCGCATATAGAACAGTGCGTTTCATTTATATTTAATTAACCAGAAGAAATATATTACTCATAAAATTATTTCAAAGAATTGAATTAGAAATAACAATTATGATATTCAATGCGCTGAATTATTGTTAAATAAATTATTTGATTTACTGATCATACAAAATAAATCGGGTGACTTAAGTACATCTTTCCTATTAAAAGTAGAAGAAGTATTCAATTATAACTGATTTCGAATAACTAGAAATTTCTTTTTCCCTCAAATAGTTTCTAAAAACAAAATAAAACGTTCAAAAAATTCTAAAATTGTATGTTTTAATACATATTATACAAAGAAAATGAGAATAACCTTATACTACTTGCCTTAAAATAAAGCTACGTTTTATGTCGTCTAATTTAATTGAATCATTTCTCAGCCCCAAAATGTAGGCAATGAAAGAATGTCAGGGAGCAAAATGGGTTAAGACAAAGAAGGAATTTTACCTCAAACACTTGAGTGCCTTTATGTGTGCGTGTGCTTGTGTGTGTGTGTGTGAGTGAGTGCACAAGTGTGTGTGCTCTATCACAGACGCAGCAGACTAAATCTCAACAGGCAAACTCATTTTGCATGCAATCTTTTTACTTTTTTTTCTACGCTTTGTTGTTTCCTCGTTGCAACCTTGGTGTGAAATTCTCAGAGGCCATCTTGCCTCACCTGGAATTTCCACAGGTGTGCATGTGTTGGTGTGTGTGCCCAGGTGTTGGCCACGCCCACCCGCTTCGCCCAGAAAACAAAGCAAAACAAAACAGGGAAACAAGCTCAAACAGCTCGAAGAAAAAAGCTAAAAATAAGAAAATCGCAAGGCAAAAAAAACCTAAAAAAAAAGAGGCGGCTGCTGTAAGTGTAGCGGTAAAACTAAACCCCTGACGTCAAGCACTAAGAATATAGTTTTTACACCAGCCACCTCTTGACTATAAGCTTCCGTTCAAGCCTTTCCCTTAAGCTCAGTTTCGCCATAAAAGTGAAAATGAAAACAACTTGCAGTGATAAAGATACGAAAACTCAATTAGAACGAACATAATTGTCTACCATAGAGTTCTGTAAATATTTAAGAATAAACTTGGGCCCTACAAAAAGGCTTAAAGATTTTGCAACACTTGTCATACCCTTCCCTTCTTTAAGTATTTCTGCACCAGTTTGTATTTATAAAATAAATAAGTAAATTTTACTCGATTGAATATATATATCTTTTTGCAATAAAAATCATTGAAGACATTAAATAAAAGTTGAAATATTAAGTTTTAATAATATAAAAATTTTAAAATTTACAAATTTTATCATCTAAAATGAAAATACTCATCTTATTTTCAAGTTGTAAGAAAGCCTCAAAAATTACTTAATATAAATTATAAGCATGTTAATTCAGGAAGAAACCTACATTTTTTTGGCAAAGTGTATACTTTAAGTTTGATTTTGATATACTCTTCTTTAGTTATCTTAGCTGGAATTGAATCTCAGGCGGAGACAAATATATCCGAGGACCCTTGAAAGTTATCCCAGAAACAAATGTGGGGGTCAAAGTGCAGGCGTTGGTTGGCCACGCCCACTCAGGCCGAGTGAAAAGTGTTTTCCATGTCGCTTTTCCCGGTTTCCTATCGCATTCTCGGCGCTGTCAGGCCAAAGGAAAAGTTTTATTAAAGTCGCAAGTGGCATCCAATTGCCCACGACAACCGCCCACAATTTCCCAGCATCCTCCTCAATTTTCCTCGGGAAAATGCTACTATGTGGAAAAGCCACTTTGTCAGCTGCGTTGGCGGCATTATGATAAATGATTTGTAAATGAACGTGTGGATTTTATGGCAAATTATGAAGGCGAAAATTAGAGCCACTCGAGTGGGAGAACTTAGTAGTTTGTCTAGTGCTGCAAGGACAACTCGAGTGCAAAACAAAGCCACAGGCTTCAAGGATATCCATACCCTGAAAGTTCTACATGATTTCGGGGATGTTTCTTGGATTTTAAGAGTTCGGAAGAAATACATGCAAGACCCATCGGATTTAACAATGCAATTGATATTTATTTAGAAAACTTTTTCTTATTAATATATACGAATTAGTTTCTAGATCTACCATTAAAACCATAAACCTTTAGTTTATTCTCTTTAATAAAAGATTATAAAAACAAGGTTCATTTTGATTACATAAATATTTTATTAAAATGTCAAATTATGTATAATTCAGTAGTGACTTCTTTTATTCAAATATTAATATCATTTATAATATTTCAATGGAAATGTTTAAAATGTTTTTAAAATGTTGTAAATTAAACATATAAGCTGGTGTTACAATATAATCGCAAAGAAATAAAATAAAGGTATATTTTTAGTTTCAAGCCTAAACTAGGTTTCTAATTTACACTCGATTCAATAGACCCGACAATCCAGAAGTGGCATCTTAAGATTTAGCTGCCTACGGTGCAAAGTGCAAACGTTTATTTATGGCTTATGGAAAGATAATTTGTCAAAATGCCATTACACATGGCCAGTTCAAAAAAAAAGGAAAGGCCGGCTGACATCATCATCATCGTGAGCATTATTATAACATTATCCATGTGAGAGATAAGGTGCTGCATTTTATGGCAGCTAAGTCAATTTTCACACCCAAACACACTTGACACATTGATAGATGAAGGGCTTTCCCTTCGTGGGCATTAAATTTAAATTTATTTAATAAGCATTGCCATCACCGCAAAACTATGGCAATTTCCCAGAACTCAAATGAAACAACACGATATTCGGCAAATATATGCATAAGTTTCCACAAACTCTGACACAAACTGTCAACAGCAATTTGTGTAAATCTGCCAAAGGCAACAAACCGCAACACGAATCCAAAACTCACAATCCTTTATGTTTAATTATAATTTATGCTTCAAGAATATTCGGGGGCCGCATTGTCACTTCAATTTGCATTGGCCTTTGTCAGAGAGCGGTTCCATTTGACAGCGTTTTTGCCACGATTTTAGGCCCCTCCACTGCTGGATTTAATCCAGCCGAGTGTCGAATATATATCCCTGTTTTTGGGGGCCGACAAATTCTGTTATAAAATTGTAATTGCCTAGACGAACAGAAACGTGACTCTGTTCCCCAAGCATTATCCTGTCTTTCTGATTCCCACTAGATGACCCGAAAGGCTATATGGAAAGTGAAGGAAAAAAATCTGTGTTTTAAAAAAAAAACTAGCAATGTACCTTAATAAAAAATTAAAAGTTTTTCATTTTTTATAACACAATTTAGTCGTTAAGGAAACTAAAATTTTTTAACTAATTTTAATGTCAAGTTTTTAAAATAAAATAATCATGTCTAAGGACAAATTGCTAACAGTTGTAGTGTTATTATTTGTAATACATTTTTTTTAATGGAAAAACTAAAACTATTTCCGATAATAGACATTTTTATATGAGCACATACAAGAATAGGTTTTTTTATTTTTTTCCTGAAATTGTATTTTTATTTGTAAAATACAGGATACATGTTAGTTGGAATGACCCCACTATAGTTTTGTTACTTCTTTTTTTCTGTTGTCCTGACGGGGACTGGCAAATTTGATTTGGTCCCAAACCCAAAACATGTTTCTCATTCAACGCAGTGTCCTTTTTTGTTTCGTTTCGCACCCCATCCTTTTTTGATTCGCCTAACGGACAGATGGAACCGCAAAATAAACTTAAATGAAAGCGTAATACAATTTCAGGGTAGATATGGCCAAAAGGGTTACGGATGGGATGGATTGCGCGATGATAACATGAAGTGTGGGAGTTGCGAATGCTGTTTATCCACCTGCATCCTGGTATCCTGTGAACTTGTGAAGGCCACGCCAAGGACACCGGCCATAAATTGTTTGCACTTTCGCCATTGTTATTATGGCTTTTCGCTGGAAAATGCATTTACCATTTCACCCATTTACGTGGTGGCCCCCGACCCCATTTCTTCTCGAATTGCATGAAATTGCATTGTAGTCGGAATTTTCGATTGGTTTACTGTAAACAAATTGTTAAAGAGGCCACACATGATTTGAAATAACAACACGAGTGCTGCAATCGAACGTTTTAATCATTTTTTTTCAATAATTCTTTAAATTTTTTAAAATATTTTCATATTTATTTTAGACAACTTCTGCCGATTTTAATGCTTTCAATATTTTAAATGTGTTAAATAGCTAATGTTTTCTTATATTTTATTTCGTATAGGTATCTTAAACACATATTTGAAAATTATTTACCATATATATTTTGAATGGCCACAAACATTGATAACTTAAAATGCCCTACAATAATATAAAGGGTG